GTATTTTTTTAAAACTTGATATATAGCTGTATACAGGCCGACCGGCCTATTTAAACAAAATATAGCAATGATAAAAAAGGGGTCATTTAACAGCTAAAGAAGCCTGATCCGTTTATAAGTATATATATACAAAAAGTTTTTTTAACTTAATACCTATAGCTTAATTAATTAGCGATGGTAAAAAAAGGTGTCATTTATAACAGCTATGGAAACCTGATCCGTTTATAAGTACGAAAAAGTATTTCTTTAAACTTAATACCTTAATCAAACTGATTTAATTTAAATTAATGTTAAACACCGAGTATATCCTTCAAATATTTCTTACAAATCCTTCAAAACTTTGAATTTACCTATGCAAAATTCCCACTGTGATCACAGCGAGTATTTGCAAACATCTCGTAATCGTACTCGTAGTCAAATCTAAAGCTCCATCTATTGTTTATCACTGGCGACACGAGCTAGAACGCAGCGTTCAATATTTTTGTATAGAATGTTTCAACATGGATGAATTAAAATTCCAATCTGATCCAGAAAATACGTAAGAAATAATCCATTGTGTGAGACTTTAATTGTTTTCTCACCTCCAGCTATGAAGATTATGACTAATCTTATAATTAATGCGATAATAACCACTTCAACTCATTAACGAGTTTACTTTATCACTGCTGTGCCTCAGAATTGCTATGTCATCAACAGCACTAGAAAATATAGCTGTTAATAAGCCACGAGCGGCCATGTTGGATTAAGATATATACAAACACAAGCAAAACACAAGGTTATCCAGCAATTGAAATATCCGGTGGGAATTAAACGAAGTCTAGTTAAAAATTTTGCCCAGCAAATAATTTTCAATTGTATACAAACTCGAGCCGAAGGCAAGAGGTTGCATGTCTGATACATTACGGACGCGAATGCTTTATATAGCTTGTGAAACGTCTTGATGAGAACATTTGTATATTCTTCCACATGCAATTTTAAAATAAATGAATGATATTTGGTGAGAAAATTGAACTCAAAGTTTTTGTAAATCAGCATGATTTTGTATCAGATATACAAACTCCTTCACGGTCATGATTTTGTGTTTTCTTCATGAATTATTAATAGGGAGCTCAAGATACACCAAATCTACGACGCGGACGTGAAGAACTGACTGCCGCTATTATCACAGTTTCACTTCACGGGTAAAAACTATATGTAATGTTGTTGGTAAGCAAAGCCAGGGACACGAGAAAAACAAAGTAAAACTAGTCTCCCATGATTACTGAGCGACTGTTTTTTAGTCGCGTCTGCGCCGCAGATTTGGTGCATCTTGAGCTCCCTAATGAGTTTCACAGGTTTTTCTTACAGATTTGTTAGACAGTGATCCAGCTATCATTTGAATGTTGAACAAATTATTTCAGTGCCTCTAGGACAAATATATTTTGATCGCCTTCGTGCTCAGGCGCATCGTCTGTTCCGTACGTTGTGGTCAAAGGAAATTAATAAGAAAAAATTCTTTCCGTTTTACTGACATATACGCAGGCTGCAAAGGAATGCCTTCATTTCTCACTAATTGTTTGCGTCAAGCGTGAAAGCAGATTTCAGATTTTGAAGGAGTGTAATTGATGGAAATTATGGTAATTATCAGTACTGATAAGGGGCTAGGCTTAGCGCCGAATATTTCGGGTTTTCGATTGTTTACCAGTCTAATCTTAGCCAGCTAGTACTCAGTAGGAATGTTCGTGAAAATGTTTGTGGCGCATGCAGGATCATTCATATAATTGGAGATTTTAATTGCACTACATGCACGGGGACGGGGTTGCATGACTCATTGATAATTTCATTGATATAGCTTGTAATTGTATAAAATTAATAAATCATACATGTTATTCAATTTACAAGACCTATATTTCATTATGCTATATCGCTATGCGAGATAAAAATATTTTAAAAATTTCTATACCAAATACTGTTATAACATATTACTGATATTAGCAACTTTTGATCTTCTATTGCAATCTTACAACTATAGATATATATTCATGTAATATAGGCTATAGTATTAGATGTTATCTATAATTATCTTGTAATTTGTTTGTATCCTTTGTATCTCCTTGCTACTTTTGGAATAAGTTATTATCTATAATTAAATTTGCGGTAAAGCCAATTATATTTTGCTATAGGTGTCTCCCAGTGCAGTAAACTCCAGCTGTGTTGCATGTTTTAATTTGCTCATAAATTCCACGCATGCGACTGCATGACTAGGGAACAATGGATTACGATGGATTACAAAGGATAATGGGGCCATGTTAAGACAAAACACTTTGAAAATGTAGACTATATACTCTATATAGAAGCTCGGAAATGCTCTTGAATGCGATATAAGTAGAAACATATAGTCAATATATAGAATAAGAAGATTAAGCCGTGTGCAAACTAGGAAACATTGTTGAAACATTGTTTCCTCACCAATGTTTCGCCATGTTTCCCAGAGTGGGCAAACACTAGGAAACATTGGTGAGAAATATAGGGAAACATCAAATGTTTCTGAATTTGCTAGGAAACATTTTTGCTTCTCGGGAAGCAAATTTTGTTTCCGCAACAATGTTTCCACGGGTGGGCAAACAGGGAAACATTTGAAGACACATCGAGAATCACAAATGTTTCCACAACAATGTTTCCTAGTTTGCCCAGGGCTTTAGGAAACATAGACCTCATGTTTTTGTCTTGGTTTATGCATGGTTTATTCTAGGAAAAATTTAGAACTGCACATACAAGTGCCGAAATTTTTTTTTCTGCAACAAATTAATTTTGGCGACCTCCCCTCCCCCCGTCGCCAAAAAAATTTCGGTCAGTGTACCATTTTAGGGGACCAAAAATTTTTTCGTACATACCAAAATTTTCCGGAACATCAAACAAAGTTTCCACAAATCACAAAATTGACCACAAAATTGAAACAATTCCCCACAAAATTGACAGAATTTGTCCCATTTAGTTTTTTAATAAGCCAATATTGCATTCGAGCATCTCAGCATCCACAAGGAACACGAGTAAATGAGAAGACTGTTTTGGGATTAGATTTTCGTTAATTTGGTTACTGCACATTTGAGTTTTAAGAACTGCACAAATGGGTTTAGAACTGCACATTTTGTGTAGAACTGCACGTTAAAATAAACCCTGGGTTTATGTAAAAAATGGTGGGTTCATCATCACATGTGCATTGCTTTCTTCGCACAACTAACCGATAGTAGTAGTGTGTTGATTTAATTATACCCAGTCGTGAAATTACACAATGGTTAAATGAAAACATATTGCTATATTGGTTGCTCTGGCGAAAATACAATACACAGGCAACGATGAACTGATTTTTTTTTTTGCATAAACCGTGACAAAAACATATAGATAATGAGGTCTATAGTCTGCATCCAGTTTCCTAACCTACTTATTCTATTGACAAAGGTTAAAAACAATTGCAAAAGGGTGGGAATGTATTCTATGTGCCGCAGACTGTGTAAATTGGATTATAAAGTCTGGTATAAATAAACGACTAAAATCTTGATTAGAAAAGAGATTACCCTTGGGCCTGGTTAATTACACGAATTAGCGCTATAATTAAATAAGTAAGCATTACGTAGTTCACTGCATGATTTGTTTTGATTTTCGTGATAAGAAGGTAACGACATCTGACGAATTAAATTAAACAGAAATTTCATGATCATCCAAAAATTTTATAGGGACAGTGGTGCCTAAATTACTTTGAATTTGCACTCGAGTAAAAGTAGAAGTAATTAACAATAAAACGACTTGAGTAAGAGTAAAAAGGAGGCAAAACTTACTTAAGTATAAAATGTACAAAGCATCCTTAAAAACACTTGAAGTAAAAAGTAAAAGTATTATTGTCTATAGCGTGTAGGGGGGGAGGGGGACTTCTCCAATGGATTGACATACAAAAGACACAAAACAGCACACGCATGCGTGCATGCACCTATAATATACAATATTTCACGGCATGGTCTATTTTCCAGACCCTGTTGAAGATATAAGAGATGCATTAAATAATTAACGCTTATAAGTAAGTCACAAACGAGAGATCCCAGACGCATGTGGAGGTCCAATTAGTTTACTTTTGAGATAAGTAATAGCCTATTACCTATCTCAAAAGTAAAATAAATCCGGAATAAATCACGTAAAATTAAACAAAAGTTAGAAAGTAACGAAATACTTTGGCCCAAAATAAAAAAAGTAGTAAAAACGTTACTTCTTGAAACAACTTCGTTCCAAGTAAAAGTATTCCAGAAAAAGTTTACTTTGTTACATGCTGACTTCTCAAAAATAGTATTCAAGTACAGTAACGAAGTACATTTACTTCGTTACTTGACACCACTGTATAGGGAATATAACAAAACTGGGTTAAGATTATTTTATTGGTCAGTCCGTAATTATTTCTAAAAGTCTTAGGGTATGTGCAAAAATCATACACTATATATCATTTACTGCAGTATACACCCGAAACAAAGGAGTTTGGCAAAATCATACCAGAGGCGGGTTATTCAAATTATACCCTGGGTTAAAATTTAACCAAGGTTTATGTATTTCTGCACGTCTGTTTATTTCAGAACTTTAGAAATTAAAATTCTGATGATCCAGACAAAATTTCATCAGGCTTATATGAAGCAAACTGCTGGGAATAGACCTTTCCCCTTTTGAGTGAAATTTTGATCTAGACAAGTTTGGACAAAAATTTCATCACAGCTTGAAAGAGCATCACAAAATTAGTAATATTCCGCCGTTTCGTTGCGAAATGTTGTAACTAAATGCGGATAATATAGCCTTGCGAAGTTTGCCGTTTTTCAGTCATTTTGTATTACGCATGGGAAATTGATAATCAGTTTGATCATCTGATTATCAATTTCACTTTTGTAATGCAAAATGACTGAAAAACGGCAAACTTTGCAAGGCTATATTATCCGCATTTTACAACATTTCGCAACGAAACTTCGAAATATTACTAATTTTGTGATGCTCTTTCAAGCTTGATGACATTTTTGTCCAGGCATATATCTAGATCAAAATTTCACTCATAAGGGGAAAGGTTTATTAGCTTGCTTTGAATTTTACGTTAACGCAAGATTATATAAGCTAACAGGCTTTTGAACATCTTGTCCCCAAAGTCAAAAATCACTGCATGCAGAACTTGACTTTAAGATTAAATGCACCAAGAGTGACTTAACATTTTGAGTAAAATTACTCAAACTTATGAGCAAATGAGCAAATTCACTCAATTTTTTTAGTAAAGATTTACTTTACTAAAATTTAATATTTTAGTCAATATTTTTTGCAGTGAACGGTCATTTGAATAGGTATATAGACGAGTCTTTGTGAATTTGAAAGATGTCACTGCACTATACACTTGATTGAACTAGATTTGGTGGATTTGATAGATTTGATTTGATATGAATGCTGGATTTGGTGGATAATCACAGGTGCATCTCAGAATATTAGAATGTCTTTGAAAATATTTCTTTGCACAAATTTGATTCAAAAAGTGAAAATTTTATTGTCAGCGAATCATTACATGTAAAAATAAAATATTTGTAATTTTTTGTCTTAACATTATATACTATACAATACAAACGTGCGCAGACTGGTTTAAATGGCGAGATAATATCCTAATTTTTCGAGATGCACCTGAGACTTGGATTATCCACCAAATCCAGTAGATGAGTCTTTGAACTAGCCGCAGTAAGGCTAGCATACAGTAATATGGAAATTATTTTTTCTTACTTATCGTGCCAGGTTTTTCTTCGTTATTAACTATTGGAACAGTACCACCGGTGAGACTGTGAATCATGGCGGACATTTGAGCATACTTATCAAGATGTTCTTGTAGATCTTTCAACTGCAGTTCTCTTTCTTTCACTACTTTCTCACGTTGACCGCATACCAACTCCAGAGATCCAACCTGGACGAAAAAACATACAAGAGTTGCTAACAAGTACAAGAGTTATTAACAAGTCTTATTATGATTTTTTTTTCCGTGCTGGTGTTGTGTACTCAGGTGAATATGATATGTTTGTGATGTTACTCTGAGTGTATATCCACACCGGGCTCAAGCTCGCCGGGTGTGGATATACACTCAGAGTAACATCACAAACATATCATATTCACCTGAGTACACAACACCAGCACAGAAAAAAATCCTATTACAAGATTATATTGGTATCGAAGGAACTAGATTCTGTTTCGAAATATCGCTCATTCGAACCGACCTGACCACGTAGCTCAGTTGGCAGAACATTGGGCTAGTATTCCAAAGGTCGTAGGTTCGATTCCCACCATGGCCGGGCATATTTTTCAAGCTCGCCAAGTCCTATCATGCTTGTGATGTTACTCTGAGTGTATATCCACACCGGGCAGGCTTGAAAAATATGGCCTGGCCACTGTGGGAATCGAACCTACGACCTTTGGAATACTAGCCCAATGCTCTGCCAACTGAGCTACGCGGTCAGGTATATATTCCACCGTGGCCAGGCAAATTTTTTAAGCCTGCCCGGTGTGGATATACACTCAGAGTAACATCACAAGCATCTTATATATTCACCTGAGTACACTACATCAACACAGCAAATATCAAGTCTTATTATTTACACAAGGTCTGGATATGAGGTATTCTGCAATCTGATGGTTTTCTACCAGCAGGATATTAGCTCATCCTGCTAGTAGAGAAAAACAAAATGGCGGCTCAAACTTCGCTACTGCTTTAGAAACCAAAAAAATGAAATACAGTGCAAATTTCTTAATTTTTTATTTTTCAAATTTCTTATTTTTCTTAATTTCTAAATGTGACTTGCGCACGTGACTGCATGATTTTTTCATGTATATTATTATTAATAAGATAATAGTATGGTTTCTCGTGCAATTTGAAAAAACATACTGTACACTTGTGAGTTTCTCAAAGATGTCAAATTGCACTCGCCCTTCGGACTCGTGTAATTTTGATAGTCTTTCAAAAACTCACTCGTGCATATTTTTTCCCAAATTCCACTGGAAACCATACTAGTTACTGTACCTATGCAAATTCCTTGGTTATTTCACTGTCGATGCAATGGAAGTGTTGATAAAATATTGCATGAATTCATTTCCTCAAGTTGATCAATTCATACGAATTCAAATTTCTTTTTACTTCCTGTGCGCTTCCTATTGGTCAATAGGTTCTGAAACGAAATCTAATTGGCTCATCTAAAAGTAACAGGAAGTTGATCAATTTTCTATCAAATGAATTGATCAACTTGAGGAAAGGAATTGGTGCAATATTTTATCAACACTTCCATTGCATCGACAGTAAACCTCTTCCTACTATAGTTTGTTTAATTTGACCAGGACGTCTTGCATGGTTGAGTAAATGAACGCCTCCAAAGCTAAGGTAATAGCCACCACCAACCTTATGCGCCAGTTCCTTTCTTGCTTGCTCTTTTTTATCGAGTTCAGCTTTGGTAAGAGTGAACGATTTCCCCAGTTGGCTTATTTCATTCTCCTTGTTTTGTAAATCTTCTGCCTGTGCTCGGAGAGTTTCGGAATATTCTAAGAATCAATGATAGAAAAATTAGTGGATCGGTTGTTATTTATAGGTAAGTCCGAAGGAATGAATGTATAGAAAACAGAAAATCTTCACTCAGAATTTTAAAACTTTGTCCCAAAAGGCAGAAAAATTATCCACTTCATCATACAAGACCTGTTTTTCTTTCAAAAACATCTATAGTATGAAGCCTGAAATTGTTCCGGGGTGTATAAGCGGATTGCGGTTAATAGGAAAACCGTACCGTTGATTTTCAGATCTTTCTGTTGTAATTGTTGCATGATTTTCTTTCTTTCCTCTTCGAGTTGATGAAGTTGACGGATTGCACTGTAAAAACAAAACATACACAGTAACATATCCGGTTGTTCAAAGAATGATTAACGATTAACTGGCTGTTTTGGTTTGTGTATTATTATTACTATTCATTTCAAAACTTCTGAAAATAAAACTCATTTTGATCAGACAAGATTTCATAAGAGAAAAGGTTGATATTTAATAAGTTGTGATATTTATTTATTAGCTTTACAACCATACAAAAGTGCAGCTATATAAAATATATAACAATGATTGAAGATATGGTCAACATGCCTAGATACGAGTCCCATGTGAAGACCAACCTGACACAAAACAACAAGTACACATACAAGGACTATGTTTGCGATGTTACTCTGAGTGCATATCCACACCGGGCGAGCTTGAAAAATATGCCCGGCCACGGTGGGATTCGAACCTACGACCTTTGGAATACTAGCCCAATGCTCTTCCAACTGAGCTACGCGGTCAGGACGGTTCGAGTAAGTGATATTTCGGAACAGTATCTAGTTCCTTCAATACCAATGTGTTCTAGTAATATGAATTTATGAATAGTAATATGAATAGTAATATGGAAAAACGGGCGAGTTTCCAATGTCTCATGTAACACCAACACAGAAAAAATTCATATTACTAGAACACATTGGCATTGAAGGAACTAGATACTGTTCCGAAATATTACTTACTCGAACCGTCCTGACCGCATAGCTCAGTTGGAAGAGCATTGGGCTAGTATTCCAAAGGTCGTAGGTTCGAATCCCACCGTGGCCGGGCATATTTTTCAAGCTCGCCCGGTGTGGATATGCACTCAGAGTAACATCGCAAACATATTATTCACCTGAGTACACAACACCAACACAGAAAAAATTCATACAAGGACTAGAACACTATTTACATAACTACTGTATATAAAAAATAAATAGGTTAAGATTATGAGCTTAAGTTGAAAGAACGGTATTTAAAGCAGTATAGTTTTTCCAAGTTTCAGTTATATTGCTGTCATGTGTTTTTACCCTCTTTAAATAAAGTTGTTCATTCATGCATTCATTCATTGAGCGATTAGAAGAAAAGGTGACAAAAGAGGAGATATCATATTTACTTACCAGTCATGTTGATTCTTCAGATTGTCTTTATGACGTCGAAGCATTTCATTCAATTCAGACTGGGACTCATGCTCCTTCTGTGCGGCTGTCAGCGCTTCTTTTAACGTCTCTAATCTAGATAATATATAAATAGGATGATCCAGTTTGTTTGTTAAATACTTTATTAAGTATAAATTAATTCAACAAATATTCATCTAAACATGCAATTAAAAAGTGTTGTACTCAAACGGACAAGGCACAAACTGGACGTAAAGTCCATTGCATGGTGCCCCTCCTCTTCCTAACATAGACATTTTAATTAAAGTCACAGTATACTGTACAGGATGTCCCAAAAAAACCAAAACCACTGAAACAACGCACTGCTAGAATCCGAACGCCTCAGCACCAAAATGAAACAAATATGCGTAAAATATGATCGACAGGATGCATATATTGTGAGTATTGAAGAAATTAAAATATCTTTGTAAGCTCACGATTTTCCGCTCTTGGGAATTTAAAGCAACTTCTTAAACAGTTTCTTTATTCATAAAATTTACTTTTGTTAAGCTTTTATGCACTTATGGGTTCAGCAACTGTCATCACATCATGGACCAAGAGCCTTCCATTGAATTGTTAATTTCAACTTGAGCTATGAACATTTGTTTGCAATAGTTCAAACAATGAAATGTACTTGCGAACCTTGTTACGAAATTCACGCCCAATTTTTGAACTTGGAAACGTAATTGGCAATTGACTTGAAATCGACGATAAAAAAGGCCTCATTCATGCATCAGTACCTCGTTGTTTGCTCAGCAGATGCTATTTTGAGCTGTTCGTGTTCACGAGCGGTCATTTGAAGATTCTTGATTTGAATTTTGAGTTTCTCTATCTAAACATGGAAATGCATATGTATCAGTATAAATAACAAATACCAGATGCTAAACAAATAACAAATACCATATATATAAACACTTGAACTTTTATGAAATATTGGGCGAGATACAAATTTTTGAAGTTGGAGTACGCTTTGAAAACTAACCGTCTAGCTATATATCTAACAGTCAGCAGTTTCATTTATGCATATTATTTTGTATAGCGACTTTGCACTTTTTGCAAATAACAGCCAGAAGAGTTAACTAAAGGTAGATCCGTGGTTGTCATTAAATTTAACCTGTAAAACTCTACTAGAATTTAGTAATGCATGCTTACAGGCCCTACAATACTATATACCTGTTGGCATGATGCTGTTTCAGACTCAGCAAAACCATGAATCTGCATGAGAAACAACAAATCAATAGACTTCAAATATATATAACGATATACTGCATGTAGTTCACGATAAACAAATCTGTGTTCTGAGGACTGATCTCCAAAGCAAGGGCTGATCTTCAGAACAAGGACAGATCTTCAGAGCAAAGGCAGATCTTCAGAGCAAGGGCTGATCTCCACAGCAAAGGCTGATCTTCAGAGCAAGGGCTGATCTCCAGAGCAAGGGAAAATATAAAAACCCACATTCATGGTTTGTAGAGAATACCTGTTCGTTTTGAGCTTCGCAACGTTTTTCTGTTTCTTGTAACATATGTCGTAACTTCGTACACTAAAATACACAAGCAAAACAGTTTTCTTTCGGTGCTGCATGGGGCTGCTACAAAGAAGAAAGTCGTTTGGTAATCATTGTCCCGATGAAATCAAAATTGGGTTCGTTTGCAACTTGTCGAAACGACGAAACCGTATAAGTTCGCCCAAGTATTAGTGGAATAATTACCAGATTGAAGTGATTGTCCATTCGGCATACTTTGTATTTGTACTACGGTTAGTTTTTACAATATTTTCCAACTTAACTCTACACCTGCATTGAAACCAGAGTTTTTCAGTACGAGTTTTTCAAGCAAAATTATATACCAAAAATTTCAATATGTTGTACTTGTAACTGAATTTTTCACTATGCCGTAAACATCGGTTTTGTTTCGCAAAACAGACGGCAAGTTACCATGCATATTTTATGCATGTAGGTGCATGGCAAAAGCCGTGTACCAACCTCTGCTTCTGATTGGGCCCTTCTACATCGATATTGTGAAATCATGCGATCTGATTGGGCAAGAGCCAATGTCTTCGCTTCAAGTAGATCTTGGAGATGGCTTTCTTTCGTCTGAAGGAGGAAAAATGATTCAGTTTTAAGATCTTAAAGGATCAGTGCATATCAGGAATAGTGAATAACTGTGTATACTGTAAATTTTAAGGAGTTGAATCAACTCTAAAAGTGTCATTCTGTACGCTGTAATATTCCATACCTGTAGTGAAGTGAGTTTAGCTTCATAAACATCCATTATTTCTGACGCCTTTGCATCTTTTATCTGAAAATATTCTAGTATTAGTGCCTTAATCAGGGTGTGAGTTTTTCAAAGGGTTCGTAGTCTCCAAGACCAAGACTTTCAAAGATTTTTTCCTGCCTATTTTCAAAGACTTTTCAAAGACCTTTGGGAGCAATCTGCAGCTGTCAAAAAATTGGGAGTGTAAGCACAATTTTTAGCCAGCAATTAGTCCCGTCAAATCACATCTTACAGTAAAATGCGCCTTTTCGTCGATATTTGCGAAAATCTTGCTTCAATCTATTTTAATTATTAGCTAGGAAATCGTATGATCAATTCCTCACTTAAGAAGTTAAAGATTTCTAATTAAAGACTTTCTGCGATTTTTCACACGATTCAAAGACTTTTCAAAGACCTTAAAGACCTGCATGCATTCAAATTTAAAGATTTTCAAGGATTTCAAAGACCGCTGCGAACCTGTTTCAGTCTTTGGATTCGTTGGATGAGGCGGTTAATAGATACACCGGAAAAACCAATGTTTTTTGATTGGACTGATGTTGTTTTAGGCAAGAAACCGAACAACTGGAAAAACTGTTTGAAACTCAGTAATATTGAAAGAAAATGGCAGTAATAGACCCATTGCACATGACGTCACAGCGCCGGTGACGATGCATCTGGAGGACAAATTAGCAATCTATGCATAATATAACTTTTGTAAACAAAGCAAATTTTGTAAGACTTTATGATAATTTTGTATTAGAATGGTTAATTTTTCGCTGTATGTGGTTTTTGTACCCGAACAGATATTGTTAGGGAGCATCTGGAGGACAATCTAAGGATTTGTGACGTCAGTGCAATGGCTCTATTCCACATATTTTCACAGAATTGTGCATGAAGCATAGTTCAACGTTTTCTGAACAACTGACGTGAGAAAATAGCACACCTAACGGTGGCTTATACCGCTTACATATTAACGCAGTACTATACCATTAATACAATTGTTTTTAAAAGTAAGTCTTGAACGTGTAGTGCGAAGTTTAATCTAAGTGTGTGTAGTAGATTTTGACCATTTGCCTGGATCTCCTACACACGCAAATATCTCTGCACATCTTGTACTTTGTAGCAAGTCTGCCAACAAGTGTTGTGTTCGCACTGCTTGTCGCAAGTTGTCAACAAGTTTGTAACAAGCTGTTCAAACAACTTGTAACCAGCTTATCAGATTTGTTGCAAGGTTCCAACAAGCTGTTCAAACAATTTGTAACAAGCTTGTTGATATTATCAGATTTGTTGCAAGTTTGTTCCAACAAGCTGTTCAAACAACTTGTAACAAGCTTGTTGATATTATCAGATTTGTTGCAAGGTTGTTCCAACAAACTGTTCAAACAACTTGTAACAAGTTTGTTGATATTATCAGATTTGTTGCAAAGTTGTTCCAACAAGCTGTTCAAACAACTTGTAACAAGCTTGTTGATATTATCAGATTTGTTGCAAGGTTGTTCCAACAAACTGTTCAAACAACTTGTAACAAGTTTGTTGATATTATCAGATTTGTTGCAAGGTTGTTCCAACAAGCTGTTCAAACAACTTGTAACAAGCTTGTTGATATTATCAGATTTGTTGGAAGGTTGTTCCAACAAGCTATTCAAACAACTTGTAACAAGGTTGTTGATATTATCAGATTTGTTGCAAGGTTGTTCCAACTGAAATCCGATCAACTATCGCTACGGCAATTTGTATATGATATTAACAATATTGTTACAACCTTGTGTGGTCAACGTTGTAACATTCTTGTTATATCATGATTGTATCAGACTTGTTAGAACAACATTGTGACAAGTCTGATAATGTCATCAAGCTTGTTACAAGTTCTTAATAGCCTGTACCAAACTTGTTACAACAACTAGGAACAAGCAGTGCGAACACAACTTGTCGACAGCTTGTGAACAGATTTGTAACAACGTGTTTGCAGACTTGCAACAACTTGTGCGTTTTTACGTGTGTACCTCCATTCCTGACTTCATTTTATCGATCAAACTCTCGATGGTACTTTCATCCAGTACACTATTCACGAAGGTGCTTGTCTTCGGATTATTTCGGTCCCGACGTCTTGACGAAGATTTGAGTGGATCTTTCGACAACATGCTTAAACTCGGCTCCAGTCTTGACTCTGATATCGGAAAGAGGGGGATGTCATCATGACGCCTACGTAATGTTTTTAATTCATCTTCTTTCTTCCGGTTATTTCCGAAGATAAGTTCACCAAGCCTGGGAAACAAAGTTTGGGCTCAATTTCTATATTCAAAATCTCAGTACTTAACCCTCTACAGTGTGTATCAAAATAATTCGAATCCAAATTTGATAGACTGCTGTTTATAAAATACTAAAGTAAACCATATAATTTTTATATGGCAATAAAGAATAGCCTATTAGGTTTCCGATTATATCGTTCTTTTATTAATAAGATCAAAAATGACCAAGAAATCGTGTGTTAAAACTGGTTGCTCGAAATCAAATTTTTCCGCCGATCGGAATTCGAAGTGAGACGTACAAACAAAAGATAATGCAAATTTAATAAATCAACAAACTGTTATGTAGCAAAATTTACATAAATTCGTGTTCATTTAAAGAGATTTAAGCTCCTATGCCTTCAACATGTTGAACGAGAAGAAATTCGCGTTAAATTTGCATTTTAGTTTTCAGTGATGATTAGCATTTCAAAGCCTTGTGGGACTAACTTTGAAAGAAAAAATGTCCAATTCCCATCGGCGGAAAATTATGATTTTCATTTTTTTTGTCAAAGCAATACTCCTTTATTTTCCAACTAAATGACGCGTACAGCATGTCATTTGAAAGGTAAATAAATGAACTTAACAATGGTGTAAAAACCAACCGAATTTGTCAAATAAATTCTGCGTTATTACACGCCAAATTTGGATTCGAATTATTTTGATACACACTGTATATCCATGCATTACATTACATTGCATTGCATTGGATTGCATTATCATTCATCACACTCCCCATTGGGGCTTTGCAGTGACCGATTACATTATAGATAACAAAATAAATGGATAGGAAACTAGCTGACGTGACCTAATGTTTTACTTGGATTGATGGCGTGGTTGGATGCCTCAACCTAGTTGAAAATCAAATTCTCAAAAGCGGCATGTTTAGCAATAATACAGCTAAAACATTTTAGTGAAAGAGCAAATAAATGTAACCACGCCATTCTACGATGAAAGCTCTAAGTATTCCCAGTCAATTTTAGCAAATATTTCAAGCACTAAACCGCAGTGAAAAATACATCGCAAATTTCGTTAAAATTTGTGACGCCAATTTCGTAGCTACAAATGTAAAAAAATACAAAAAAAGACGAAAAACATTTACCTTGAATACTTTGTCGTGGCTTAGGCATGTTTTTAAAACAATAAGACCAGTTTACGCTTCAAGATCACCCTTTTAAAGTGGAAAAATATAGCAAAACAACAAATATGCCGAGAACTTTGGTAACATTCGCAATACGCGTGACGTCACGTTTTTCAACAAGGATGCAGTCAATGACGTCAGAACTTTCCAATCCATTTATTTTATTATCCATGATTACATCAAGTATTTCGCTCGTGTTACTTACTTAGCCTAGACTATTTAGACTATTTATCTTTACGACAATTGATATAGTACGTTCCTAACTGTGTTTCTCCTAATGAAAGGCACAGGGTGGATCATTAGCTTACCATTATTTGATCCTCATGCAAAAATGTGACAGAAAAAATATATTAGTTATTACACCAGTCCCCATGCATGGAATTACCCATAATGTTATTAAATGACTTTTTAAGTACTATTTAAAACATCAGATATAAAGATACGAGGCGAAGCCGAGTATCTTTAGGTCTGACAAAATACGCACTGCGGATGTTTTAAATTGCTTCAAAAACAATCGATCTAATAAGTTCATTGGTGAAGTAATTCTCAAAAAATACGTTGTGTAAATCGAGAAAATCAAAGTTAAAATTTACGTAAATCAAGCGAAATCTCTTTATATAATAACTACAGTGAAACACGCAATTTGATTGGTCAACAGCCGTGCAGGATCAGGCTGTCCTGCACGAGGAAATAAAATGCCTTCGCAGGATTTTCGAGGGATTCTCAAAATGTCAATGTTTCATTGTAGTTATTTTATAAAACAATTACCAAATGGTTTTCCAAGCAGGATAGCGTGATCCATGCCCTTGAGATGTTGCTCGACTTTCGGAAAGCGTAAAAATACACTCGCCTGCGGCTCGAGTGTTTTTACGCTTTCCGAAAGTCTCGCGACATCCCTCGTGCATGGATCACGCAATCCTGCAAGGAAAACCATTCGGTATTCCTTTAATCACATATAAAGATACGACACGCTTATGATTTTTCTTCGTGTTTTCCTCATTTATTATTAGCATGACAAAATTGCTGGATGCTGATTGGTTGAGAGGAGTTTTCAAATGATTTTCCAAAAACAAACAAAATGGCGGAAAGGTATTTTGAACATAAATGTGAAATGAAATTGCCCTTGAGGAACCAGATGAAAATACGAACAAATGCACCAAATTTTTCTTTAATTAACAAAAGAATTAAATAAAAATACGAACAAAAGCACCAAATTTTGGTTGAAAGTCTGGCAGGACTGGGCATTGGGGAGTGAATATGATGTTGACATTGAGAAGTATCCAATTTTGTCAAGCTAATAATAAACAAGTAGTAACGGCGGCTCGTCCACTTTTGGCAAAATTTCCAAACATTACTCGTACTATTAATCCCTAATTGTACTCGCCATCGCATGATTACCTATACAAATTATTAAGAGGAGATTTTTTTGTATGTTACGTAACACGCGCTCAAAACTAATGCGTATAATATACCACTTGAGGTTATGACTAAATTCGACATTTTTATTTTTCGATACGTTTCTCGGTCGGCAAACAAACTTAAAAAGTATGTTTAGTGCTTTATCTGTAAAATGATGCTAAAATGAAGAGATTTTAGATGATATGCCAAAGAGAAAATGATGTTTGAAGTTCAGTAAGTTTTGCTTGTATGGCTGTAAATATGGCGTCAATTTTAAAGCATCATTGATAATTGTATTTTAATTGACAATTTTTGACTATTATTTTATGTTTTTCAACCGGAAAACGCATTTAAAAAGGTAACTAACTCTATAAAGCTAAAACAAATTAATTTTGAGAGGAACGCCAAAAAGATTTTAGGTTTTGAACACTTTTCATTGCAAATACGTGACATTGAAAAAAATTGCCTCTTAAGGGGCGGACCATTAGAAATCCCGGGAGGGGGGTGAAAATTCCCCCAAAAAAATTCGTGCAAAGAAAAATGCCTGGAAAAAAAATTCGTGCAGCCATTACGTCAGAGAAAAAAAATTCGTGCAAGCAAACAGCAAAGTCATGGGTGTACTGGGCAGTTGGCAGTCGGGCAATATTCGCTGAACAGTCGGGCAATTTTAGTTTATTAAAAAAAAAAATTGACAAATTCTGTCAATTTTGTGGTAACTTTTGGTATGTGGTATGTCCGGAAAAAATTTTTGACCCCTAAAATGGTACACTGACCGAAATTTTTTTTGGCGACGGGGGGGGGAGGTCGCCATGAGCAAAGTACAAGTAGTCTTGAAAAAAAAATTCGTGCAGAGGTTAAGTGCATTAAAAAAAATTCCTGCAGACACATGAGACTGAAAAAAAAATTCGTGCCGCAAAAATTTTATACCCCCCCTCCCGGGATTTCTAATGGTCTGCCCCTAATGAGTTTTTGAAGTAACTGTATACCTGCGTATAGCCTCGCCAACACATTCATAACCGAAATATCCACCGCCAACATCAACCACCATTATATGATGATGGGAATAGTTCTTTGAACCACAAATCACAATGTTTTTAAATGCATCTTGATAAAAAGACTTAAGTAATGGAATGGATTCGTAGAATGGAAAATGATAAACGATAATTAATAAGATATCTTCAAAGTAGTTCTTCAGACATTCACCAGATCTAGTGTCTTTGGGATTATGGTACGTGACAATATCTGATGCAACTGGCGATGGATGTGTATTACCTACAAAAGTGTGAAACTGCATTTGTACATGGGCACCAATCTCGTTCCCCGAGCATGCCCGTTCGCAGGTTAAGGGTGGGCATAGCTCTGGAGAAATCGAATTGATTCACGTTGAATTTCCAACGTGAGTTCTACGCATGCTCGGCAATGTTGCAAAATATAAATAAAGTATTTAGAATTTCTCGTCGAAAATTTGATACATTTTACACTGAAATTGAATTGAAAACAATTAAAAATTCTGGGGGGAATATGTTCGAAAGCTTCGGTTGGATAGAAATACAGCTACTTGAAAAATACAAGGAGAACTTCGACGTTTCGAGCGAAGGCGCTTCGACCTGTGCTGTTTATTAAAGTGTTTGTATACATCGTACTTGACCTTTGCTGATGAATATAATCTCCTCAATAATAAGTATTATATATTTTTATGCTTTAAAATTTACATTTAACTCTTCTGTCAGAATTTATGGTATACATAGTGTTAGGTATGACAGTAGGCCTATATAAAAGGTCAAGTACGATGTATACAAACGCTAACAGCACAAGTCGAAGCATGGGCATACCGGAAGGAAACAATTAGGGGGGCGGCAAGAAAATTGCCCGACTTTTCGAGATTCTGGCCGACTTTTCGGGATTCTGCCCGACTAGGACCAAAAAAATTTTTCCGGAAAAATTATTTTGGCGACCTTTCAGGTAGTTGTATTCCTATCAATCCGCAGCTTTCGTACATATTTCCTCCAGAATTTCTAGTTGTTTTCAATCGATTTCGGTGTAAAAAGTATCAAATTTTCGACGAGAAATTCCAAATACTTTGTTTATATAGAACTCACGTTGGAAATCCAACGTACTATCTGCCGTTAGCCAATCACAGGCCTGAATCAATTCGATTTCTCCAGAGCTATGCCCACCCTTAACCTGCGAACGGGCATGCTCGGGGAACGAGATTGCATGGGCACCTGCACTAAGGCCGTTTTCCACAAGGCAGAATTTTCCGCGCTCAGCGGAATTTTCCTTTGTCTTGTGATTTCTCTGGTGGAAATAATTAGAAAAGACAAAGAGAAATTCCGTTCCGCGCGGAAAATTCCGCCTGGTGGTTTCTGTGTTAATTTGGCAGGGCCGCAGGAAGCTCGTCTTGATTTGAGGAAATTTTTAAATTTAGAGTCTCTGAAATGCCATTTACTGGACTTTGGGGAAGATTTGACAGGATTGTGATGGTCAGAAAACAGCGTTTTAGTATGTCGAAATTTACAATTTGGTAGTCAATTAAATGGGCGAAGGCGTATTTAATTAAAGTGCCTATATCATGGTTTTGGAGTTTGCATATCTCGAAAGGTTAGGGTACTTTAAGACACTTTGCAATATATTTTGTAATTGAAAAATTTCATCTTGATGGATTTATTAGCTCTTAAAGTTACCGGACATGACATGTCAAAAGGAGAATTTTGTTGCAATGATACAAAGGAAAACTGATTTGCAATTCTCCTTTTGACGTCATGTCCGGTAACTTTAAGAGCTAATAAATCTATCAAGATGAAATTTTTCAAAACAAAATATATTGCAAAATAAGTGTCTTAAAATACCCTAAACTTTCGAGATATGCAAACTCTAAAACCATGATATAGGCACTTTAACTATATATTAGATAAGTTGCAGAAAAGTATGGGTAATATCTTTTCATTCTTTGCAATTTGTTATGGATAATGTAGTCGCTTAAAATTAATAAATCTTAAAATTGATATGATTGCATGATTTTGAAAAAAGAATGATTATTAGCAAATTATTGGGGGGGGGGGGGCTGTAGCCCACCAGCCACCCCCCGCTGCTACGGCCCTGTTTGGTGTTAATGTCCGTTGAAATATCGAAATATTACTGCACTGTACCTGCATTGATACTTGGCATAACACATCGTATACATGGAATGTTATCTAAAATATTCAGACATGTTACTACATTAATTTCTGCACGTTCAAATTAACTGTCCAAGCTAGACATTCCGGACTGGCGATGGGTTTGGGATTGTTTTATAAAAAATCAAAATCGTAGTTGAATGTTTTGAAAGGTTTTCACGCTCGTTCTTTGAACAAAAGCGAATTGAACAAACGCTGGTTTAATTAATTCAATGCGTGGTGATGTTTTCGATTATTATCACATTCAAGTATTCTCAACATTAATTAATCGTTCGCTCTGCTCGTTCCCAGCTTTTGTTGCAAATTTGTCAACGGCTTGTTGACAACTTGCTACAAGATTGTCGAGCTCAACAGACTTGTTACAAGTTGTTCCAACAACCTGTTATCGTCCTGAAATTCGGCAACTTGCCAACAAGTTGGATATGGCGTGGCTTGATTTGAATCAGGTCGTATTTGACCATTTCTTACCACAACGCTACATTTGACAGCTATACAGTATTGTTCTTTACAAGTATGCCAAAGGTAAATCTATGAAATGAATATACCTAACACACAGTAGCATGCAGGGGCGTAGGAAGCTTAGAAAAGTTGGGGGGGGGGCCAGGCTTTGAGGGGCACTTTCAAAAAAAAAAGGGCATCTCAAAAATTTTTTTGGCGACCTCCCCCCCCCCCCCGTCGCCAAAAAAATTTCGGTCAGTGTACCATTTTAGGGGTAAAAAATTTTTCCGGACATACCATATTTTCCTTAAATACTAAAAATTTTTCCGGAAAAACAAATATATGATATTTTTATCGGAAACTAAAACATTTTTCGGGAAAAAACCTACATTACAGTTTTCAAAAGTTTCGTTTGGACAAAAACTGCGAATTTTATGAAAATTTTTCAGGCACAAAAAGGGCACTTTGCTCCTGTAAAAAGGGCACTTGCCAAAACTTGGGGGGGGCATGGCCCCCCTGCCCCCCGGTTCCTACGCCCCTGGTAGCATGACAAATTTTGGATATCGTTTTATACACCCTGTGTATCATTATTTGAGAGAATTACCTTCAAGTTTCAGAATGAAAAGAAACGAACAAAGAGCTATCAATAGACAGACAAATATTAGAAATAATCTTTTATTACTGGACACATGTTTTACGCCACCTTGGTTCATCTTCACCCTACAAGATACAGTATAATCAAAGCAATTAGTAGACTAATTTTTTGTAGACTAATTTTGGTAGACTAATTTTTTATCTTGGCAAAAAAGTATATTCCGGGAAAGAGCATACTAAAAGGAGTAAAATTGCAACGTTTGGTTGCGAAATGTTGTAAAATGCGGAAAACATAGCCTTACAAATTTTGCAAATTTTGTATACTTTTGTATTGCGTGCGGAAATTGCTACCACATTTGTAGCCTGCGTTTGCGTTTGCATTTGCGTTTGCGTTTTGTAGTCTATAGACTATAATTCTATAAAGATAAATGTGATTGGTAAACCGCACGAGGACACAAGTCGGTTAACATTGGGGGCGGAGAAAATGACAGAAAGAGTGGAAACCTCGCCAAGTCTTGAATTGTCGTTTGAAGAGAAAGCAAAATTACCCAATCTCATCTCCTCGACAAAAAATAGTTTAACTACATGCCGAGCGTTTTATCCGATTCGTCCCAAACTTGACCACAATGTCAATAATAAAGGAACAAAAGTGTGTTCGATTTAGTGCATTATTTTGGGTGTTTGTATTCCGAGTAATGAGTAATGAGTAATGAGTAATGAGTAATGAGTAATGAGTAATGAATTTTCGTACTTGCTTTGGAAAAATAAACCATGAAAATATTGACAGTGATTCTACACACTCCTTGCCGTGAATAATTATAATGCTGTGACGATGTCATGGTATGATCAAATATGGCCATAATTTCGCTTATGGCATACTCGTTTTTAGCATGTCACAAAAAAGATCGTCTCCAAGTTGAAAAATTACATGTTCGCAATAGTATACTGTAGAATACAAGTGCTGTGGTATAAAGGTTGTTTTATGATAAATTTTCGGCCGACATATTTGTTTTGCTATTTGCGATTCTGCGGTCTTGCAGCCAGTATAAAATCCGCAATTGACGTCCAAACGTTGTCGAAAACTAAGTTTTCAGTTTATAAAACCAAGATATTACTCTTTAAATCGAAGAAAAAGCACGAAATTTGTGCTCACTCTGGATTTTTGTCGACCGCTATATTAGTGCTTATTTGTATTCTACTATTGCGAACATGTTATTCAACTTAGAGAAAAAACGTTTTGAAAGCTAAACAGTCTAAACTGGTTAATATGAGACATGCTATAAGCGAAATTATGCAGGCCATATTTGTACCAGTTTAAACTGCTGACACTATCCCAGCATTATAATTATTCACGGCAAGAAGTGAGTGGAATCACTGTCAATGTTTTCATGGTTTATCTTTCCAAAGCAAGAACGAAAATTCATTACTCATTACTCATTACTCATTACTCATTACTCGGAATACAAACACCCCATTATTGGAAGCATCTCTTCAACCGCTTAATATACCCGCGCAAGATAAGTCAAGTTCCATGTTCCATGTTCCATGCTCTTTTTTGGCCATTTATGTCTGCTTTATATCAAAGCAAATACAATAGCTGTCAAAAAATGGGAACATACTTTTCATTTTGGACATTTGAGATGAGAAATATGATATTTTGGGATCTCTTGAGTTAAACGGTCTGTCGTTAAATCTCGTGGCGCAAGAGGTGCTATTTTTCAAAAGATGTCTCATTGCGACTACAGGTTAAAAGGTGGTGAATTTTGGTTAAAACAGTAGCTTCTACAGTCGGTTAAGCCTAATTTCCATTTGGTCGTTAGTTGTCGCTGGCACGACAAACGGTAGATGTGAAATAGTCTAATATCAATAGTCTTTTTGTGAGTTATATGCAAATCAGTCTTAATGATTGCAGAGTTTTATAAAGTTTTGTTGACACTCTATAGGGTGTATCAAAAAAAAGGAGACCTTTAGAAATCAAGCATATTGTTAAAATTTGAATGCCTTTTCAATTGCACATATGCTGAACCGTAGTGCGTGAAATATTGATGGTGCATATGTTAGAAAAAGGAGACCTTTAGAAATCAAGCTAAGCCCACAACAATGTTATTTACGTACAGTCAGCAAATGTTATTTACGTACAGTATGCATGGCAGATTGTTCCCAGGAGCAGACAATCTTTTGTTTAAACGTTATTTCAATTTCTAAAGGTCTCCTTTTTCTAATATATGCATCCCATCAATATTTCACGCACTATGGTTCAGCATATATGCAATTGAAAAGGCATTGAAATTTTAACAATATGCTTGATTTCTAAAGGTCTCCATGTGACCTTAAAAGAGTTGTAATGCCCCACCAGCATTCAAAAGGTTGAACTGTGCCTTGTGAGTTCTTATAATGTATAAGTAATAGTGAGACTTAAACTCTCGACGTTCAGAATTCTATCCCGTTCGTTGCTCTACCTGTTAATGTGTTAAACCTATACAGAGATCAAGTTCATATTGTATAGTTCATATGTTATAATCGTAAAAATTCCACTTACCGAAGCTGACTTAGCGGTAATCTTCGAGGATTCTGCAAACAAATTGAACTTGATAGCGTCAACTGTGTATTGAGTTTAACAAGACACCTTAATTTATCGTGATAAGTATTTCATTCAAGATATCTCGTGAACGTCACTCGTCATCCTTTTACTTTAGATGGACAACTATTAACTGACTTTGCCAGTTTACATTCTACACTGTTATAGTATGGAATTTATGTCGACACATTTGTATTTTTTTGGAATCGGTTCCAATTTAACAGCAATTCCAATGACTTATTGTAAACACAATTGTTGTCAGCAAGCATACAAACCTGTTACTGTACGTGGGCAACAAGAATATATTTATGGCTCATTAAACTTGCAAATCAAAGAGCATACTGATGAGCATTGTAGTCGACTTCTATTGCAATTTCCAAACGGCGCGACTTTTACCTTAAATAAATAGAGTGGACAAATATCCAAAGAGGATTGTTTCGTGAACAAAGAATTATCTGTTCGCCCTTGATATCATGGCCCTCGTGCATGTAGGCACTCAAAGGCCAACGAGAGAAAGATAAGATAAATAAAAAGAATCCATTGACAAAAATCATTGACGATCGTATCGCGAACAATGGATGATACCTGATACAATGGATGATACCTTATACACCAGTGATGACGTTGAGAACTACTATACATTGACATTTATTTGGATTCAGAGACTATTCATTAGTTTGTGTGTTGTTTGTCTTTTTTTAAATTAATTTTAATTATTTATTTATAATTGTAAATATTCGTATCTTCAAATATGGAGGCATTAAAGAATTATACTTACTTACTTACTTACTTACTTACTTACTTACTTACTTACTTACTTACTTACTTACTTACTTACTTACTTACTTACTTACTTACTTACTTAC